GATTCTAGAGAATAAGAAAATAGGAAGAGAGCAATAAGGAATGAAGGAAGAAAAATATGAGAATGGGAAGGCGCGAAAGAATTCCAGGAAAGAGGCACAAAAGCAACTTTCAAGCTCCATGATCATAAGACAACCAAGAAGAGAATGAGGAAGGAGAGAGAGAGAGAGAAAAAGGAAAATAAGAGACTTTTACAGTCCCTAGTTAGAGAAGCTTATTTTGTAACCCTAAACATACTAATGCCCGTATTTGTTAGAACCCAAAATAGGTATAGAACACCTAAAATAACTTTCAAAGCAAGACTACGAAGCATGCAAATTGGCATACGAATGTGCATTATTATTTGGAAATGAATTAAAGACCTTAATAAAATAAACCCCAGCTAGAAATATAATGCTAACTTAATAACTTTTATAAACCTAAAATACATGCAAAATTACACTTGTATCACATTTAGCATGGGCCTAAAGACTAAAGATAGACATAATATTCAACATTACTTGGCATAAAGTGACTGAAATTAAACTCCCATGCATGTCAGCCTGAGATTTCAACATTGTACCAAACAATGGCCCTGACAAGTAGTGTGGGACTATTGAAGTTGAAGCAAAACGATATCACAATATTATGGAAGTCAAAATGTCAAATATATTATATATTGGCAAGTATGAAAAACCAACTAAAGAAGCTTCCATAGTTAACTTATTAAATATACAAGTAATTAGAAAATAAGTAAGCTAAAGAGCATAGAAAGCAGCTACTTTGTCAGGCAAAAATGGAAAGATTAGTATAATGGTAAAAGCTCGAGCCACCACAAAATTTCCCCACCCCCACCATGCAGTTTAGACCTCTACACATAAACCCTTCCAGCAGCTCGGAAGAGATGCAACTAACACCAGGTAATGGCTTTTCAAAATATGGAAAGGTAGGTGTATTATGTTTAACAAAAATAAAATGCAACGTGGAGTAAGATAGTGACAACTACAGACAACTCAGTAGAACATAGTGGTAGAATTGTGACCAAGTACGTTCCTCCGAAAATAAGAGAGCAAACTCCCTAATATCTTGATCTATCATAGATAGATAAATATATATTTTGATAGGCCCCCTAAGCAAAACCAAGCTGGAGATGGTAATCATTTAAACTGTTAAAAATGTTATAACCGTAAACTTTTTAGTTCGCCACTTAGAACTTAAGTCACATGATTTGCTTGTTGTAAGTGTTGCTTCAACATTTCGAGTGTGGATCTGTACTTTTGAGAGCGGATCCGGTTCAATTCACGGATTGCTCTTCAAAATCCACAAATTAGAAATTCCAAATTTGTGAACTCTTAGTTCGACTATAGAAGTACAACTTGAATCAACATCACAGCTTTTGATACCTCTCTGCTACTTAATTTGGAGATTTGTTGAGATTTTGCTATTTGAGGAGAAGAAGAATGTGAAAATTATTGCAATGCTGATTGCAGATAAAAGGATTTGGAGAGGAATAGGATGCCAACACGAAGAAGGCATCACTGTTTGAGATAGCTTGTCAGTGACACTGCTTATCAAGGCAAAACAAGCTACTGCTTTCTTCACGTTTACACATAACGTGATTCTTAATACCTTAAAAACGATCCAGAGGTGGCCAATGTGGTCGTTTAATGAATGGCTATAGCTCACGATCAAAGTATACCACCAGTCGTCTAAGTATAGATGGAACAGCTCATTGTTGGGGGTGCAGAACCTTTTGTATCCCTCTGTTTTGTTCATCATTGTTTTGATGGAAGGAAACAAAACTGACTAGGAAAGCCGAAAGCCACAATCACCTTTTGTCAATTTGATGCATTATTGTTAAAAAACTCCATTTTTGCATTTTTCATGTGGACTTTGATTATTAAGCTTTTTATTTGCAATCAGTTATATTTGCTTTATTGTTGATGGTGATTGTTGTATTTAATTTCAATTCTAATGACCCTTGATATGATTTTCTTATAAATAGACACATTTATGCATACAAGTGTGTGTGTGTGGGTAACATAAAAAAATATTTAGTAACACGCTTTGAAGGCGCTCCTGCTCTAACAATTTTTTTGGATTTTGGTGCTTCAACGCTCCACTACCGTTCTTACTTTCACTTACTTTTGCTCTATGTGACTTAGCTTAGGACTAAGGAGTTCATTAATTTGGGCACCCAATACAAGTTATAGATCAGCGCTTAAAGGTAAACTTCCTATACCCTAAAATGCAAGGCCAAATGTCGAGATATATACCAAAAAAAAAAAATCCTATTAGCCAAATAAATTATGTCCATGTTCCCCAAAAATAAAAATTGTCAACAGAGAGAGAGGGAGTAATGTTTTCCTATAGAGAAGATGGATCCATTAACATATGTAACAAATTCATACATAAATATAAACCAGGTCATGAAAAACTGAATAAGACAAAGCATAGTTCTTGTCCACAATCCACAAAATTTTAGGATCTGCTGAAGACCTGATAAATGCAAAATTTGCAGTGAGGCTAGATGTAAACAATATGTTGAATATATAACTTGAACTAGGAAGTAGGTCCTATAACAACAACGTGAAAAGATGATTGTTCTCCACTATTTTATGTCATTAAGAAATAAGCCTAACAAATTTATCAAGTTCTCACACCCTCCCTAACATGCGACCCCATCTTGTATGTGAATCCAAGACCTTCTAAAGCCAGAATCCATCTTAGACAATTGATTACCCCAAAACTGTAAAGCAATCAAGGAATGAATATCAAGCACCACGCCTTCCCTCATGTACGACCCTATCATACACATGAAGACCCAAACTAATGCAGAAAGAAATGTAAAATAGAGAAACAACAGCAAGAATGGAGATTGAACCTAGAACCTCGAAAAACCAAGACTCTAATACCAACTAGAATATCAGTTGCCCTAAGAGTTTTTTTTTTTTCCCCTTTTCTGATAAGTAAATTATATTAGAAAAGAGATCAAGAGGGGGGAGCACTGTGAATGAGGTCTACTCCACGTAGCCAAGTCTTGTCAAAGCCCAAGCCCTTGGAACATCAGTTGCCTAAAGAGTGTTTTTTTTTCCCCTGTTTTTCCTTTTTTTCAAGTAAAGTATATTAGAAGAAGCGATCAAAAGGGGAGCGCATCCCACTTACAAAACAAAAGAACCGCTAAATCCTTAAGGTATCCAACATCATCAAAAGCTCCTACACAGATTTACAATATTGATGGATAAAAAAAATTGATTTAAGTATATCAAACTTGAGCACCCAAATAGGAGTTTCCTTCCGTATAAGAATCTTCGATTCCTCTCCCACCATAAGCCCCACCATGAACAAAGGGAGGTAGTCCTCCAAGCATCATAAGCTTGTTTTCCCAATACACAACCCATCCCAAGCTTTGCACATGCTCCTTATGGAAGAAGGCATAACCCAACAAACTCCAAAAATGGCAATAATCAATCCCCACCCATCCCGAGACACTGGGCAGTGCAAGAGTTGCCTAAAGAGTTTTAAATCGTCAAGGAACAGGCCCCAACAATATCTATATCAAGTCTCACATCCATGATTCACTAGTAAACAATAAATTTTAAACCTGAAAATTGGAAAACAATTTGGAATATGTTGTTTTGCCATTTCTAATATATTTCTTCCCAGATAAAATGATGGAAGGTGGACCCCAATTTACAGCAAAAAAGAATCACAAAACCACCAGGTACTGATATGATGAACAGTTGATAAAGAAAAACCTCCAATGATGCTCCAAACACTCAATCCCAACCACAAGTTCTCAATCCTCACTATACGATGATCAAAAGCATACAAGGAAACCTGGGAAGAAAAACCGCTTATTACCAACTTACAATTTAGAATGTGTCTCTTCTAACCCTGAAAGACCTTCTTTCAACCTCTTTATATGCTTCCCAAAATGTCCAAGCAGTTTCATACTCGTAAGAAGTTTAACCATACTTGGAAACTTTAAATCTCGCAAATTTAAAACTCATAGTGCCGGTGCTTAATTTTCTGATGAGCCAAGTATCAGTGCTCAGGGACCACGTAGCGGTGCACTACTTTCTACCGCAATAAATACTGATGCATAAAGTTTGTGTACCAATACTCAACTCTCTGGAAATTCATTTACCGTTGCTCAACTTTCATGTACCGGTGCATGAGTCTGGGTTTTAAAAGATTCTCTTTTTCTTGCATAAAGATTTAAACCAGCCCAGCCCATTCCAGAGTCAAAAAATATGAGCTCAAAAAACTTCGAATATAATTAAAAACTCATTTTAATCAAACTACGTCGGGTAGTCCATGTATCTGATATTATGTCCTCTAGGTCTCAATTACCTTGCCTAAGATGCAATTGATCTTGATGGAGCATACGGTAATGAATTTCGTTTTCTTCCTTCTTCATCCATCAATCTTCCATTTGCCACACTTCTTCGATGTTTCAGACATTTTGTTCAACTCACTTGGACTCAATTTTTTTAATAAATATCCGAAAACTAAGTAATTTTTCTTATATAAGGAGCACAAAGAAATGGATACAGGACACCAACATGACAAAACATGACATTAATATGACAACAAAGCAAAACACAATGCCAAGCACGAACACGAGGGCATGTCAATATATATACTCTATGTAGGAGAAATCATTGATTAATCCTTCGTATTTCTATACTATCCTCTTATTATATTTTTATTTTTGAAATCATTACCTTTTTGTATGAAGATGAATTATCTTAAATAGTGAACACAACCAAGAAGTGATGGGCAAATTTCCCAAATTGACATGGCTCCTCCTTAGAAATAACCAAACTACTCAGTATGCGAAAGAAATGAAAAAAGAAAAAAGAAAATCTGTGTCGAACCTTTGCAGCCAAAATATATCATAATTCAGAAGTTTCAAGATAAACCACAAATCATAGTAAACAATCTTTTTCATTCTCAAAAGTATATATGCCAAAGAACAAAATGCATAGCAAGTAACAGCTACAATCAAGTTCACTACCTTCAACTCATCACGCTTGCGGGACTTCAGTTGAGAAAGTTGTGTCTCTGCATCATGCAGACGATCCTGAAGAACCTTTTTCTCGGTCATGAGCTTTGCAGTTTCATCATCTCGTTCTGAGCGGAACCATTCAAGTTGACTCTCACCTTCTTGTATCTGTTCCGAGAGCTCTTTCCTTTCCCGAGCAAAACGATCCATCTCAGCCCTCATTTCAGACTGCCATTCCATGGAGGTGTCAATTCTAACAAGCCCCAAAAATTAATTAGAAGAAGGTGTTCTCCTAGATATATCATCAATTAGGAAAGCTAAAATACCTTAAGACGGTTGTTCATGGCCTCAGATTCGCTCAGCCTTTGTGATATACTAGCTTTTTCTTTAACCATACTGGAAATTTCAGCTTTTCTTTCTTCACGAATGCGAAGAATTTCATCTTCATTGGCACATAACTGATGCCAAAGAGCTGCCCGATCAACATTTGCAAGTTCAGCAACCTCCCGCATCATATTCAGAACTGGCCGAACAATTTCTTGTTCTTCACAAACCAAGGTCACCAAAATTTCCAAATCTAAATCAAGCTTGTGACTATTATCGGTTGTGTTGGTGGCACGTTCCACAAGTCTCTTCAGCATCTTTAATCGGTGGCACTCATCGGCATACCATTTAAACAATATAGTGTAAAGAACCTTTACAAATCCTCTCACACGAGGGTCTCTAGAGAGGGCCAATGTCTCAGCAAGACCAAGAATGGAAGTGAAATCATCTATTTGGGCTTTCATCTGCTCAAGGGTTTCTCCCTCAACAATCATATCTGCATGCTGAAAATTTTCAGCAACGAATTGTGAAGCAAAATTAAATCTTCGGGCAATACGTCTTTCTAAGACCATAGCTACTGACTGAGCCATAACTTCCCCTCGAGCAACAGCTCTCTCAAAAGTTTGGGAAGCTTCAACAGAAAGGCAAGGGATAGATGACATCTCAATCAGGATATAAATATCAGAAAAATGACGACTAGCATGGAAAGCTTGCTCATCTACCACATGCATTCTCTCAGAAGCAGAGCCATTTTCACCAAATAAGAAGAGGCCACAAGGCATTGCTGAGCAATTGTCATCAAAATCACTGTCACAATCAATATCTCTTAAAATAGCTTCAGCAACAGCTGGTGAACTATGTACCATTCTGCTTAAATAATCAAGAACACATTGGGAAACCACAGTTCCCAAATCTTTTAGCCTAACACGAACAGATCTAACCTACAGAGAAGAGAAAAGAAGTTAAAAATGTTTAAAGGAAACATGACACAATTATAGCATAATGGTGAACTGATCCAATTTTAGCTTCAAAGAACTTTGATGAGCATACAGCTTCTGGAAGATGTTGGCATCGCAATGCAGCTTTAAATATAAAATCCACAGTTACAACTAGAAGTTCATCATTTGAGTCTGCCAAAAGTTCAAGAGATCGAAGTAGAACACGTTCCCACACATCACTGCTACAATCCAATTGGCTTAGAGCACCGAATACCTGAAGAATAAAAATAAAAAATGATTCTGACATGAAGGATGCAGCAAGAATTAACAGGATTTTCTGCAAAAATCAGAATGGGCTAAAAAAAGGACTAGGCCACATGAGGCTCCTGCCATTGCAAAATTCAGAATGGGTAACAATTGAAAATGAGATAGATTTTCCCTAGATGCCAAATACAAATACTGAAGCAATCCCAACAAAAATATAGCAAAAGAAATATAGGAAAATATTTAAGATAATTTTACAGGTAATCTTAATGCAGGTTCTGCATCAGGCTTCTGAATTCGATCCAGAAGTGCACAAGCAGCAAGTGGATGCTCTGAATGCTCAACCAATTTGGGCACCAAAGCAACTAGGTCAGGTTGCAGATGCTTAGGAGCTTTATCCAATACAAGAGCAATCTTTTGTGCAGAATGGGGCCTTCGTCTTGGCTCAGGACAACCTTGTGGAACGGCTCCATCTAGAGCTCTCAATGAGTTCACAATCAATCCCAGGAGTTCCTCAGACTGCTCTGGCCATTTCGTCTGAAATTACATTTTCTTCTATAAGTCAATACCAGTAAATTCAGCAAGGAAGATCACCACTTGAGACAATTAATTGTACCTTAGAGCGAAGGAAAGCATTGTCTGAGAAACCAGCAGCAGATGTCTCTGGTGGACATGTAGGCTGTCCAGGAAGTGTTTTTTGAGGTATGTCAATCTCGTTCATGTCAGAGCTTTGTGCAGAATATCTGCTGGTGCTTTCATCTATCAAAGAATCCAGTCTGTTACGTACAGGGAGTTGGGCAGATTCTGTTGCTTCATTTTCCCCATCAGATTCCAACGGACTGACAGCTCCACTGCCATCCGGAGAAAATTTAGAGTTTGCATCCGAAGAATCAACACTAGAACTTCCTTCTGAAGGTTGGCAACACTCAACCATTATATCCAAAAGTAGATCAATGATAGCCTGCTGCAAAACCTTAACTCCCATCAACAAATTCATCAGACTGGGAGAAGATTCATCACTTTTGGTAACTTTCTTTCCATCATTATTGCCAGAGAGCTTAGTTGGAAGAAGTAAGCGCTTCACTTTAGAAGGATCATCAAGATAAACACGGAGTCCAGTCAGGAAACCAGCTATTGCACCAGCATCCATGAGAAGCTTCTCTCTTAAAGTGACCTGTGGCTGTGAAGGATTGTCTCCATATGTGAGGTGAAAGCCTGCTCTTGAAAGAAGATTTCTGAAGATGTCTTCTTCATCTCCACTTATCTCTTCACTGTCTTCAGAATCAATGAGTTCATCAGGGTCGGTTGTCAGAGCATCTTGATCATCTTCTGAAGCAAAAACCTGACAAAAGGTATGCCCCAACATAAATAAGAGAAAGAAAGAAAGTTAATATGATGCATGAAAATGGCACACAGGTCTGTAACAACAACAATCAGAAAATGTGTAGCCACCGTATATAAAGTATTAAACACAGCTTTATGCCTCAGATCAATCATGTATGATTTCAAATCAGAACAGATAAGGAAATTGATTATATTTCAATCAAATTAAGTTGACATCAATTAGCTTATACTTGAGACGTAGACAGGGACTTGAATTTTCAGTTTTAGTTTATTCAACATTGCCCAAGAAGAAATAATTTTATAGAGGTTAATGATGCACATTTTTCACAATTTTTACTGCCAGTAGACCAGGGTCTTGCTGCCTTTTAAGCTCCAGATAGATTTGGCCCATTCAAATTTACTCATGCCTTTAATCTTAACTAATGGCTAGAAATATATGTCACTTAGGATAGTGGTATACCTTTGCCAATGGTTCAATAAGGATGATGAGAACGGCATTTATTGAGCTCCACAATTTCTTAATGGAATAGGACACTTGAAGAATAAGTTGATACAAGGAAGCCAAGGCCCGTACACCTACAATGAGTTTCTTCATTGCGACTCAAACTTTAATCACAGGATCCTCTTAATAGTAAGAGCTCAAGGTAATGTGGAGTCACTTTTACCCACTAGAGGTCATTGGAGATAGTGATTGGGTGGTGGTAGTGGGGTGGGGGGGGATTGGTCTTGCACTCTTGTTGGATGGGAGTCAAGTATTGTGTGTGCAGTGGGAAGTTTTTCCTGTATCATGTGTTCTCACACTCTAATTTTGTTCCTACGAGGATGGAAGTATCATATCATTCAGTATTTGTAATTTCTTTCCTTATTAATATATAACTGGCTTAGCTGGTAAGGCACGCTATTGGTAAAACCAAGGATTAAAGTCATCAAAGAAGTTTGAAAACCACCTTCATCCCTTGTCCCGATTGCCCAATCAAAATTAACATTTTCTGGTTTTTATCGTCAAACAAGAAAAAAGAAGATATAAAAGTAGGACCTAGTTCAAAATTTGACATCCTGAATATTACTTATAAAGATTTTATTCTCTAAAATTTAAGTCATATGAGGATACAAAGATTAGGGGATATTACAAAAAGAAGTTATCACCTAGAACGGTCCCCGTTGATTGAGGGTGCTTGGGCAGGTTGGGTAAGGGCAGGCTTGATACAGACCTAACCTAGAGGATGTTGCTAGGATTCGAACCCACATTCTTATGCTTGACAGCCCATTTTACCAATGCACCAGGCAATGACCCCATAAATATTACAAGAATAAATTGAATTTATTTAATAACAAACTGAACTTTTTATTAAGTTACAACATATTGAAATTTCAGAAGCTGAATTTAGAATTTGGCTTCCACAATGAACTTGAAATGCTCAGTTATCTTTGTCTTTCCCTTAAGGAGCTGGTGGAAATATAAAAGAATGATGAAAGGATATACAGTAAGCTTAAGATAAGAGTCCCTATGAAGCAAATAAAGGAACTTCCATGAAGAAATTAGCCACAAGAACTTAACTTCATACAATTAAGAGCATGTATGAAGAACGATTAACTACAAATATTGTTGGTGCCAATATGCTGCCACTGAAAGTAGACCATTTCAGTAGCATAAAGATGTCATCTTAGCTTCTTGAGACTTGGGAATGTCCTTCAATGGCGGAACCAAAAAAAAGAAAAAAAAGAAAAAAAAAGCCCGAGTACTGTCCCTTTTAATAGTTTGTAGAGACTTCTTCCACCATAGAGTTCTTCCGCTCAAGTCCCGCAATTAACATCAGTCCCACTTTAATAATTAAGTAGGAATCTGTCCCATATCTAACCTAGCATTTTACCGATGCAGCAGATAATGGCCCCTTAAATATTACAACAAATTAATTTCTTTAAACAATAAGCTGATCTTTTAATTAAGTAACAACAGATTGACATTTCATAAGATGAATTTAGAATTTAGCTTCCACAATGAACTTGAAATGCTCAAGTTATCTTTGTTTTCCCCTTAAGGAGCTGGGATAAAAGAATATGAAATGAAATACAGCAAGCATATGATAAGAGTCCCTGCAAAAACAAGTTAATGAGCTTTATGATGAAATTAGCTATAAGTGTATAACTTGATTTGAGTAAGGTCATGTATGAATAATTGTTAACTATCACATAATTGTTAACTATCACAAACATTGTTGGTCCCAATATGATGCCACTGAAAGTAGACTAGTGTATGTGGTAATTTTTGAATAAGCGGGACACAAGCATGACAAATGAAAAGCAATATACTCGTCCTAACAGACTGACAATACTCATGCAACTACTCCCTTACCCATCATATATCTCACTACTTATATTAAATATATTTTTTTTTTCAAATGTAATGATGCATACAAAAATCTGGCCTTTCTGTCATAGCAAAGACGCAACACCCAGTCTACCTTTAAGGCATCCAAAAGGCAGCCCTTCCATCATAGGGGGGATCACGTCATTAAATCTACTAATCTTTGAAGAAATATTTGCCATGGGGACCCACTAGTAGATGATGAGTATATTTTTGTTATTTAGTAGAATGAAAGAAATTTGGACATTTCAAAAGTTGCTGCCATATTTTCTTTCATCAAATGCTGGACCTACTGCAGTTCTCTACTCACTCTTCCTCCTCCAACTTTTTTATGCTCTCCATTTATGTACATGTCACCATTTTCTTCCCACGTTCTTCTTCCTCTGTATCTCTCATTTCAGTTGAAAGAAGCGATTAGCACTACCAACACAATAATCAACACACTCTTATATTCCTTCTTAGGATGCAACCATATATGTGTGGAGCAAATACATTGTTAGGCTAACCCAAAAGTTCCTAGCTAGCTATGAATTTATGGAAATAATATTCTGTTTTATTATTAAAAGAAAAAGTAGTCTAACAAACCCATTTAGTCCTTGTAACAAGAATATGAAGCCAAGTAAGACAAATGATTTAGATTTAGAAATTATTCCGAGGTTACAGGGGAATGCCTCAGAAACTTGAAGGTTACTTGCATATCTCCCGAGTGAAAATCAGGCCAGCCATCATCAATGCAGTACTTCAGAATTGTCAAATATATGATGAATGAAATGTTTAAAGAAAATAGGTTCTTAATTAGCATGACTAAAAGGACCACATATTTAGACGAGTTGGGCAATTGTGTAATAAGTACTAACCTCTAGATCCGAAAACTCAAACCAAGGGCAGCAGTCCATGATTTCACAAACAAAGACAACCGTATCACGTACAAGAAACCCTGCATCTGCATCAAGCATATCCAAAACCTTCATGAATTGAAGAACAGAATTATTCCATGTTTTTGTACAAATAGAAGACTCCTTCCACACAGTCTTAGCAGGATTTTTTTGATTCACCACACCCATTCTGTATCTGACCCAAAAGTTTTTATCAGGATCACTGCCAACCGATTGATCACTCTCTAGATATATACATATGGTGTCAAAGGACTCATACACACCTGCATCAGAAAAGATCAAACTGTTAACAAATGAAAGGGTAAATAAGCACCAACGGTGAGGAAAGGGAGTGATAAAGAAAAACAATCACCCACCAATCCGAAGCTCACATCCACCAGCTTGAAAGAATTTGCTAAAGATTTTTCGTGTTTCCATTATTTCCTTAAAAGAGAGGAAGTTCTCCACCTTCCATGTGAATGAACTCTTTTTCCCAACTCCATCTGGCTGGAAATCAGCATTGCATGACTCATGATCTTGATCAGTAAAATCCTGCATTATGGATGTCTCTTTCAAAATAAGAACTTCTGCAGAAAATATAACAGTATCCTGCACGAGAAACCCAGAATCTTGATCGAAGAGACTAGTCAGTGTCACAAATTCACGCCAGCCCCAGTCCTTTGCAGCTTTGGAGTAGCGATTCTGAGATTCCTTCGTAACAGACTTATCCTCCATCCTCTGGTTCACAACTGACAGCCGATGGCTCACAAAACAACTCCAATCACTAGAAGTATTTCGTGAATCTGTAACTTCCAGAAAGACTGAAAGGTGGCATGGTGGTTGAGACTGCCCTGATACCATCAAGCACAAGTGTAATTTTCATCAGTTCAGTTTTCTAATCATGAGCTAAGCTACTCTCAGCCTAGCACTTCAAAATTGCAGTACAAGTTCCAGGATGATAATGGTAAGCCATATCCCTTTTCAATTTACAGTAAAGGAATTAATGGTCTTAAATAATCCATGTAGGTCAACGGTTCACTTTCCTAGCATACGCTAAGCAACTGTCTGTCTAACTCGCATGATTCCAAGTCCAGGGAACACATTATTAGCCCCCATTTTATTTCTAAGAAAGTAGTATAATAGCACAATAATCTACATAAACACAAAATGCACAGATTTAGCAACTGCATATCTAGCTGAAAGAATTCCACGTACAAAGATCGGTACATAAATGATGAGCCATATCCATCTTCAACTCAAACATGACGAAACTAATATTCCACAAAAGAATGGCACAGACACTATCCTAAGCATTATCAACAATTGCAACTATCAACTATAAAATTCAGACAACAGATAATTCTCGAGTGCAGCAATCTTGCGTACCTCGGGGATATACAATAAGCCGACAATCCCGATTCCCAATTTGAAATCTCCTGCTCTTGATGCAAAGCCCTGTAATCTTCCTCTTCTTCAGAAGATCCTTCAACCTTGTGAAATTCTCGATTCTCCAAGTGAATTTCCCCATATGCACATCAGACTTCCTTGCACCACTTCCACTCCTCCCTCCAAGCAGACCCCCATTCTTCGAAAAACTACTAAGTTCCTTAATCACATGAAAAGATGTACTAAAAACTGCTGTATCCTCCACCAAGAACCCCGACTCTGACCCAATAAAATCCGACATCTTCATATAATCATTCCAGCCTAAACTGGTATTGTCCCCACTTTTATTATCCGCTGCAAACCGCCCATATGAGTCCCTATGCATGTGATTCATTCCCGGCTTCTGATTCAACACAGACATTCGAAATAAACACCAACAACTTCTATCCGAAACCAATGTTTTCTCTGTATCTTTACTCTCCAAACACATTGACAAATAGTCGGCCCCATTAACCGAGCTCTGATAAACACTAATGCGTAAATTACACTCTCCTGCCGGGAAAACAGGGCTCATTATCTTCTGAGTCTTGATCATTTCCTTAAACAAACTGAAATTTTGAACCTTCCAAGTAAATTTCCCACTCAACACATCACCAACTGGCCCGGTTACAATGGAAGACAACATCGAATTTGATTGTAATTCATTATTATCGCGCGTGAAATTAAATGATTCATTCAGCACAAGTAAATCAGCAGTTATAAGAATTGTATCATTATTGAGCATAAAACCAGATTTAGGGTCGAGAATTGAAGCTGAAGGGGTGAAGTCACACCAACCGTGCGATTTCTTCTTGCTCGAGAACCGGTGCCAAGAATCGCGATGAATGGACTTCGATTCATCGTGGGGGTTCACGACGGCGAGGCGGTAGCTGGCGAAGCAATCCCATTTACACGACGACGTATTCCGGGGGTCCATGATTTGGAGATAGATAGATATATAACCAGGCAGAGCTTGAGAATCGCCTTTAGGGTACACCAAGAGGCGACAATCGTAGCCGCCGACCTCGAAGTACTTGCTCCACAGTGCCCTAGCTTTAACCTTGGGGAAATTGACGATGCTCCATTTGCACACCGCCGCAAACTCGCCACGCCGCTCTACCGTCACCGATTCTTGGCCGCCCGCGGCGTCGCGCGACACCGCCGGATCCTCCGCGGCCGGTACCGACACCACGGACTTCTCCGGCTGTGCCCTCGCCGCCGCCGCCGACGGCGACGGCGATGGAGACGATGATGTCACCTGTACGGACGGCTGAAAATGGTCAGACGAGGATGTCGAAGATGATGATGAGACTGCTTCGGATGATGATAAGCTGTGATGTTGATGTTTCTTCATCGTCCCCGTTTCTGTGTATTTCTAGGTTTCTCTCTCTGTAACTTTATAATCTCTGTTTTTCTTTATCGAGAGAGAGAGAGAGCAGAGAGTTGAGAGAGAAGGGGGTAAAGGTTAAGATTATGTGGTGGGAGGGTAAGAGGAGGGATTTGGACAGAATTGGGCGGTTAATTGCACAAAATTCCCATAATTATAAAAAAATTTCTAAATCACCCTCGTTACTAAATATTTATTTAATAAAGTCACTCTAAAATATTAAAATTCCCAAATATCCTTTAACATTTTTTTTGCAAAACCTCCTTTAACTACATAATAATTTAGCATTACTCCATGTTTTAGGAGATGATTGCACCGGGCTCATTCAAGCGGTACACGTGCAACACACGCTCGCACGTGCACAACACTTATGTAGTGTTCTGTGTTGTTCCCTACAGTGTTATAGTACCCATTTTTAGAACATAATACGTTTGGGCCGAGCTGTATTGGTCCGAACAGTTACAGAACATTCTGTAAAAAATGGCCAAATCTTGGAACACCAAATTGGTGTTCTTGCTTGTTCCGACTTTATTTCAGGCCCAACTTTCATTGTAGCGGGTGCAACAAATGCACCCACTTGTTCTCATTTCAGAACAATTACAAACTAAAAATTCAGACATGTTATAGGGCTAGAAGCTTGCCTCATAGCGCGCCGACTCCACTAGAGCGAGGTGATTCGTGGTTTTCTTTCTCTTCCCCTTCTCTCCCTCTCTCTAAAACTTTTTTAACTAAGATCACAGCAACCTGTGTTTCATCGAGCCAACAACTCCAGATCATAATCAATTGAGCCGCCTCTCTCTCTCTTTCTAAAACTCTAATGAATTCTCTCTTCCTCTCTATTATATTAATTCAATTCTTGTAATCAAAATCGTTTATACTCTTTCCCAAAATTTTCGAATTATAAGGTTTATTCAGTGAAGCTTACCTGGAAATTGAAATTCTCTAATCAACAAATGCCAGATCTCGAACCCTAAAACCAAGAAATCAAATATTTTTGAAGATAAACAGGTAGATCAACCCAAAAATTACCGAATACGATTTCTGCGTTGCTAAAAACGATATATATCTCACCTTTGCGTTTTTTGGCGAACCCCGCCTCTGCGTTTTCTGGCGAACCCAAAGCTTCAGCGTGTAGATCTATCACTCCGGCGAGCTCTTGTGCGCTCTCATCTGCCAATTTCGGCGAACCCCACCTTTGCATTTTTTTAACTGAATTTTTGTTTGATCCAAATTCTCAAATTTCTTGCAATTTCTTCACCTGGTATATATATATATAAATAGATCTAAATAGTTTACATTATTATACTTGAATCCTCATTTTTTATATTTGTCCATCTGAAATTTAAAAAATAAAAAATAAAATGGAGAAAGAAAAGAACAAAGGAAACAAATTGTGACTTATTATTAGATAATTTAATATATGATCAAATTTGTTTTTCTACTTTTAGTAAAAGGGTATTATGAAGAAACAAATTTTCTATTTACAGATTTTTATTGGTAATTTTTTTATAAAAAAAACCCAACACTCGTACTAACTTCATGCAATGGAATTTATTGGTAATATTGACAAGTTTTTATTGGTAATTTTTTAACAAAGGAAACTCAACAATTTTTTTGGTAAATTATAGTTTTGGAATTTGTCACTTATAAAAAAAGACATTTCATGATTTTTTTTTACTGATTTTGGTTACACTTTTACCCTACCAAACATGTTTTGTTCTCATATTTCTTGGAACAAAATACCTTGCCAAACATGTTCTACCATGTTTCTGTTCCAAAATTCTCACCGTAAATTTTCGTCGTCAAACATGTTTTGTTCTCATTTTAGAACACCACATTACAAAACACTTATTCTGTTCTAGACTAAAGCATTACACTACACCACACAACACTTCCCAAACGGGCCCTTACATTTCAAATTAGTCCCGTGCACAGTGCACTAGGCTCACCCAATATCTATTGATGTTTAAAGGTAAACTAATTCTTCTATTTTTTTGGGAAACCCAACTCTCTAGATGCACACACTGCTTGTGTGGGTTCACCATATGATGGAGCCACTCACATGTGTGAGCAACCAGGGTGGCACTAGATAGCACAGCTCTTTATGTTGTGTTTGGTTTAGAGAAATGATGAAAGAGAAGATTGGAAGATGGATAAAAAAAGTTTCCTTGTTTGGTTGGAAAGAAAGTAAGGGATGAGCATCCCTCTAACCCATGTTTTTTTTAAAAAAAAATTAAATTATTTGTGCAAAATTAGGGAAAAGAGAGGAGGAAAATAAAAAAGTTATCCTGTAAATATGTAATATCATATCAAATTTCATTACTTACTAAATCTTACTGAAATGGGAGACACCTTCCCCACCTAAGCCCGCACAATTTTGGTTTTGGGTTTTACCTCAAAAGACCTCACTCGCCCACAAGGTCTTCACAATTAACTCCCTAAGAAGCCTGACATCCACGTTGACACGCATCTGATAGCCCTATCCATCACGTGGTATGATATTGAAAATTTTAAACATCCTTTTAGATTTATTTTATAAAACCTTCTTAACTACAAAACAACATAGTGTTACATCGTTTTTATGGGAAAAATAATTATTTTTGTTGCGGACCCTAACTCACCAAACACTCATTAGTCATTACAGGGCCTTTTGTGGGGCCCACCATATGATGGGCCCCACTCACATGTGGGGCAATTCGGGGTAGCACTAAAAACATAGCTTTTTGTTCCATGCTTAGTTACGGGGAATAAAGAGATGAGGGATAAAAGAAACTTCATATGCTTGGTTTAAAAAAGGGAAGAGATAGAAAGCAAAGAGGCATAAGCATGAGTATCCCTCCTAACCCATGTATGTTGAAAGTTTTTTTTATTGATCCAAAATTAGAGAAAAATACGAGGGAAATAAAGAAAAGTTACTTTATAAAATTACTTGTTAAGTATATGAATGAATATTGTATTGCATTAATAACATAAGTGTACAAAGGGGTTTATATAGGAAAGGACATGTGTGGAGAGTAAGTAAACCCTATATATGATAATAATATATATGTTAATGAGAGTAGGTGAAGACAGCTAACCTTAACCCTGATCTACAATAGACAATATAATCTAACAGTCCCCTTTAAAGTTAAGGTGGGTTATATAAAACCATTTTGAGTTCTGAAAGATCATAAAAGCGGCTCATAAAAGATTTGGTGTTTTCACCCTGATGTAGCTGACGTCGCACTGATGCTAACGTAGTTGATGACATAGCACTTAAAGTGGCAAGTGACTTGGCACTACTGTTGGCACTTCTGCTGCGTGGCAACTGATGTGGCACAACTACTGCCACCGTTGCATAATGTATCTGACGTTGTACTGATGCTAACATATCAGGTGACGCGGGGTGGATCTGTGAAGATCTTGGAGATAAGTGCAGAGCATGACTTTGAAAGTTGACTGCGGCCAAGATAGTGCTGATAGTGCCTATGATAAATTGATGGGTGACGAATTTGTAAAGATTCACCACAGTGATGGCGCGTGGTGACGCGATGACGGAGCTGATCTGACATGTTGAGGAGGAATTACTGCTATTACTCGTGGAAGTACATGGAATAGTGGGATTACCACATGAGGCGCATAAAGGTGCATGTTAGAATGAAGACCAAGTGGAATTTGGTCACAACAGACTATTGTGACGAGTGTAGGGCTCATCCACACTTAGGCCCAAATATGGGCAACTGCTATAGATTATTAGGAAATTAGGTTAATTATGAACTATGAGCATCAGGCCCACTTCTGAGTATGAACTTCTAAATTTGGATTGATTCTTTTAACAACTCAAAGTTGACCCAAATTAAAGGTGATAAACCATATATGATTTCCAAAAAATATGGCAGCAATATCAGAGATTGAAGAATAAATCAGGTAATGCATTATCTGAGTCACCGGTGATCAGGGATGTTGGTTCTCGGCGGCGACTGTGAGTGCATTGGCGGTGTGGAGGAGGTGGAGCGGTAACCGTAAATGGTAGTGATGCTGCTGGAGTGATATATGATCTATCCAACCTAGTTAATCTAGCTAGCGATGATCCGATGAGGATGGTATGCCGACGGTGAATTTGTTGATGGGTTGAGTTGTATTCGACAGGTGGGAGCCCAATTGAGGATGCCCGCAGAGGCGCCATTTGATGGCATTTGCGAAGGTGAAGGTGCTGTCTACCGGTGGGGCTCTGTTCACCGGGGTAGTCTCTGCTTTGTCCGACGTCAATACAGATTGTGCTGTATCCGATGAAGTTGTGTCAAACAGTGGTGAAGATGGTGAGACATTAGGTGGCGAGACGACGGTAGTGAAATGAATCGCCATGTCTAGAACCCACGGCTGAGATTGTTTCTACAACCCATTGGTGGTTCAGCGACATTAACAGATGTTGCAACAACATCAACAATTGTATCAATTTCAAAGAATATTAAGGTTTGAAATGCTTGGGGTGGAGAAGAATGGTGTCGGCAGTGATCAGAAAAGCAGAGAGTGAATTATGTGCCAGAGAATGAGCTAAGACAATTGGAACCACCAATGATTGGCGAGCAACAGTGTCGTCGGAGAAAGGTAGTGCTGACTTGGTTGTCGACACCAGAATATTCCAGATTCTCCCGATGAGTAGTCTGGCGAGTGTAATACCCCTAATTTTTTTAGATTTATTTAAATATTTTTATTACATTTTTATTTAATTATGTGGCTATTTGATTATTTGTTTTATATTTAATTGTATGATTAATTTATTATTTATTTTATTTAATTATTTTAATTGAGTTAATTAAATTATTTATGTTGGCTAATTGTATTGTGCATTTTGTTTGATTTCATGTGATGTTTTTATGTAATTGAATTGTTTTTAAATGTTAAAGTGTTAGTTAAATGATTTGTTTATTTTATTTTAAAAATTCATGGATTTGGGTTATAACCCATGGACCAACTAGATGAGTCTTGAACTATTTAAGTGGAATCATATGATACCCTTAATTCTAAAGCCACGGATAATCAAGTCCAAGTACAGAATATAAGGGATATCAAACAATTAATATTTAAACAAGCATTTGAATACAAGA